AACAATAAAATTCTAGTATGCAAGTGAGGTTCTGGCCTAGTGGTGGGAGGGGTTTGTCCCCTTCCTCCGCACCTGGGTTCGAATCTTATCATGCACGCTTGTTACCCCCGCGGTGCCTTATCTGCTCACTGGACTTGTATAATGTTCAGTGGGCCGTGTGGATTAGTCGTGGTGCTAGTAAGCTGGCCCGAACAATAAAAAAAAAAAAATTCTAGTATTCGAAAGCAAATGAGTAATTAACAAAGTTGTAAGGGGCGTATCTGTCATGACGTGGTCGACGTGTACATGTAGCTCGACAAAACGAGGGGAGCCATGCAATTTCGGGTCCCTTTCCTCCCCGGGAGACAGTTCAGTCAAAATGGGAAAGTCGATTCCATTGAAAAGCTAAAAGCTAGAATTTGATGGTTGACCCAATGCGACAAGCGCTCAGTTAAAAATCGAAAATATCACACCGATCTCTTCATTCGCTGGGGCAACAGATCCTCTGATATTGCTACTTGCTCAAATAGCGAATCTGCTTTCTTCCGACACGTATAATTTACTTCAATGCTATAACAGTAATTTTTTTAAATTCAATTTCTTTTACACTTTGATTTTTTTTAAATAATTATTCTTATTAATTTTTAAATAGATGAAGTTAACTCGTTTATATCATAATAATTTTTATATAATTTAATTTTAAATTTAAACTAAGTAAAAATTCAAGTAAAGAAGTTTTCTAAATTAATTTGATTCTTTTTTATATTTCATTATTTTTTCCATAATTTCACCCTATATTTTTTTATCTTGAAAATGACTTGATTATCTTAGATTTTTATATTTATCATCAGGTTGTTTTATGTTATATACAATGTACACATCTTCATAGATATTTTTATAATTTTTTTGAATATTTATATAAAATATATTAAAAGTTAGATATCTTAAGAAAATCTATATTAACACAATTCAAGAGTCAAAATCTCATCTAAATAGACTTCATATCTCTAGACAAATACAAGATTTAACACAAGTTTAATACAATACTTAAACAAGATTTAAGAAATATTTAAATCTAGAAAATATAATTTATTTTTCACGTCGTTTATACAAACACTATACTTACTTAAACATCAAAGTGTTTTTCTTACAAGTGTCTTTTAACTTATCAAATCCTCGAGTTTTATTTTATCAGCCTATGAAAAATATCTTTAATATTTTTTTTTAAGAATTTTTATCAGTTTTATCATTAGTGACATCTATAAAAACTAAATAAAAAAACAATTCATTGTTGTACAAAATCCCAGCACAACGATAACCATATCAATGACTATATGCAAGGCCACACCTCAATTATATTTATAGATATGCCCATGACTATGCTAAAAAACAACTTTAATAGCATCTTATATGCTAGAAAGTTAACATGATCAATTACAAATATTTGCTTTATTTATTTATTTATTTGGATGTCCGGACCAATTTGTACGCATTACGACTAATCTCACAACTCACTAAACACCCTGCAAATCTAGTAGCCATGGAAGGTACCGTGAAGGTAACATATGTGCATATAAAGACTCAAATCTAGGTGCAGTGAAAAAAAAACAAACTCCTTTCACCGCTACTAGATCATATCTTTTAAATATATCTGTTAGCAACTTTGATAGTATATGAATAAACTATAAAATAATATTAATTTTTGGATCTAGTTCAATCATGTCTACATGATATTTTATAATATATTTATGAAAAATATATAAATTTAAATATTTATTAAAATATTTATCTTAAAAAAATCTTTGTAAACCAACTTCATTTCTCTTAAGCTAAAGGGCCGAGAGCTTATTTCTCTACCCTTCAGCTTTTTAGACAAACACAAAATTCAATATTTAGCCTAATATAAAGTTTAAATAGAGATCCAAAAACAGTTAAATCTAGAAAATATAACTCACTCTTCCTATAACTTGTATAAATATTCTATTAACTTAAATATCAAATTATTTTTTTTACATATATCATTAGCCCCATCTAGTCATTCAGTTTTGATTTTATCAACCCATAAAAGATGTCCCCGATCTTTCTCCTGACAATTTTTTATAGCCTCGTCAATTAAAAAGCTTGTCATCAAAATCTCCTGCAAGTCAAGTACAGGGTGGATGATATGTGTTCCAAACTCGTGAGGCGAAAATCACAGTACAGCATGGATAATTCGGCACTCATCAGCAATTGGATTTAGAACATGGAGATAACCCTAACTTGTTGGCTTAAGTGAGATGGTGCATACGGTAATATTTATCATGTTGCATCCGCCTGGTTGGCACTGGCTGCATCATATATACCATTTCCCTCCGGTGAAACTTTAGAGTAAATCATAAATTAGTACCTACTAGTATATTTTCTTGCACTCAGTAATTGGTCGGACCAATTTTTTTTAAAATGTCACAACATATTAAAAATATGAGGAATTTTATGGCAAGTTATTAAATTTAGCTAAATAGATTAATCTTGAAACTTCTCAACCTAACTCCTTACTTAAATCATATTTTTAATTACATCGTATGGGAGTTAGCATGACTTAAATTAAATGATTTCATGGGTTCAAATGAAAATTTAATGACCGATAAAAATATAACTTAGTTTTTTAAAAGTTTTCAAAATGATAACTTTTTGTAAAAAAATATTAAGTCAATGATAGATTGGATCAACTCTGATGTGACTTGGACAATGAACTTTATTGAATTTAAAAAAAATTATAAATTATTTATATTCAATTATATAATAAAAATAGATGCTTACAAAATTAAACATCAACATAAAAATAGATACCTTTTTGAAATAGTGATAACCTATTAGAAAGAAAACAAAAATAAATCATGTAGTCTATTTATCAACCAATTTAATATTGAAAGATAAAATAAAAAATAAAAAATAATTAAAAAATTAAAAACAAAAAAAAAATATCTAATTGGTAGATAAGCCCGTCAAACCTATAAACCGAGTTAATTATTCCGCTGGGATTATAATTTGTTTTTTTAATTATTTTTATTTAATTATATGATAACAAAAATAAATAATCGTAAAATTAAAAATAAACACAATACCGAGATTTTTTTATGAAAATAATAACCTTTTAGAAAGTGAAATGAAACAAATTATGAAATTGAATTTCAAATTAATCCAATATCTAACGATGAAATAAAAAAAACTAATAAAAAAAGAAGCTAAACTCGCTAGACATGCAAATTAGATCAACTAGTTAAACATGTAAACAAGTCCATAAAGTTTATAAAGTTTAATAATATATCTCTTCTCTAAATTGTTTTTTAACAATGAAAGAGAAAAATAGACCCTATAGAAAAGGCAAAAAAAAAAAATACAAAGTTAAATTCTTAACTATCTCAAATTAAAAAATAATATAATTTTTTTTAAAAAATCATAATAAAATTCAATATCTAAAACAAAACAAAAGTAAAACATTGTCATTCATAATGCAAAGGGTTTGGTTGAACGATAATTTTCCCACACCTTGTAGTTTTTATTACTTTATAAAATTTATTAATACAACTTTTCTCTCAAACTTATTTTTTTAACTAAAGAAAGAAAAATTACAAAGAAATAAATTACAAAGTTAAATTCTCCTCAATTAATCTAATATTAAAAGATAAAATTGATAAAAATAAATTATAAAAAAATTCAATAAAAAAAGAAAAAAAAAAGCAAAATATTATGATTTACAATGCAATAGATATGAGTGAACAATATTTTTTCCACACCTTTTAATTTTTTTATTAATTTATAATTTATAATAATAAATTTCTTTCTAATTTTTTTAATTATATAAAAAACTATAAAAAATCAAGTTCGGTTAAAAAAAAAGAAAAAATCATTTTACCAAAAATTTTAATTTTCTAGGTAAATTATACTAATTTTATAGAAAAAACAAAATAAAAAACAAATTCTCAACTGTACCAATATAAACAGATGAAATAAAAAAATCATAAAAAAAATGATAAAAGTAAAATGAAAAAATAAACAGCAAGACGAACACATTGTTAATAATTAATATTTTTTAAAATCGAGATCAAATACAGAACACGTGTCGAATAACCTGGCTTCAGGTATGCTCTGTTTTTACATCGAGATTACCGAATCGAATGAAGCCAAGCACGTGCTTTACTTCACACAGGTGACTGCCTTTTTTTAACTACTGTTGTTGAGCGACAGCACGTGTAAAACCTTTTTGTAGAAGGGGAGATAATGAAGTACAAATCCCCGTTTGGGAAATAGTATGGGATTAAACAAGTATATGAGAGCCCTAAACTTTACAAGGCCGATGTCTCCCATGCTCAATCAACACGCGTGTTATTGACGATGGAAGCAGACACAGAGGACAGAGAGTTGAAACGTTTTCATCCAGCATGCCTAAGACTAGACCTCACAACAATAGCTTCCATAGCTTAAGTACGAGTTAACATAAAAGGTCTTGGACTTCAATCCATGTTGCTTGAATGATGAGACTGTAACAAGTTTAGGTTTTTTCTGACAGCTAAGCAAAGAGCATGCAGGGGGTTTGCAGCAAATTCATCCAAAATCTTGCTATAATGAATGACATGAAGCAAACACCAACGCATAAGTTAACAAACCATCAGGTGAAAGGGAAATATGAGGATGACCATGGTTCGATTTGGTTATATGTAGTGTGATTTACGCCTTCGAGGTGGGCAGGCTTTTTGGTGCACAAATCTTTTAAGATACGAAAGCAGAGCTTTCTGACATACTTGATATGCTCCCATCTTTATCATATTTGAACAACACATCCCATGTCGTCACTCCCCGACTCCATCAATATACATTCCAAAAATATAATCAAGAAAAATTAAGGCACTAAATCCTAGGTTACATTCTCTCTCTCTCTCTCTCTCTCTCTATATATATATATATATTCGGTCTAGATTTCAGAAAAATTAAAAAAACAAAAACAAAAACCAAATGATCATCGAGAAGTGAGAGACAGATAGACAAAATCAGTTATCTTGGATAATCAATACTCTGTTCTTGACAATGAAAGAAATGCCACTGCAAGATCAACAATTTAAAGGATAACACTTGCAGAATAAGAAGGATTTGTAGGATGAGAAGGGTAATTACAAGAGTAGCAAAAGAAGAAAGATTTTTTTAGCACTCTACACATATGAAGGGGGTCAACTGGCAGAAGTTAGACGGGCTAGACGGGGGTTGAAGTCGGATATCCACATTTGACAAAAGCGATCTTCTTCACCAAAACATATCCCATCTCTTTCAATCATGGATTGAAAATTAAGTTGCCACACTTGCATTTCCAACTCATTGGCTTGTAATTGGAGATGCCATCACCTCTAGAGTATGCGATGTTGGAACTTGCTGCGGAGAATCGACTTCTCTGACGGCTATGGGCCTGTGTTGTTATTGGTACTTGAACTGCTTCACAGTGCTCACAAGAGTTGCACCTTTTGTCGCATCTTGGTGGCCTTGATCCTATTGTCTGAGCCCTCACCGCTATTTTCTCCTCTTCTACACCCTCCTGTTAATGTCATAGATAATCGTTGAACTTCTATTGCCAAAGCTCAATGTAAGATCAAACACGAGAAACCAATAAGTTTGGCAAGAACCAGAATATCTCTTACCTCTGGAGCCGCCTCCAGCAGCTTGGTAGTTGCCCTACCTGCAGAGAAAGGAAACTGATCATTGTTAAATTCCAGAACGTGTTAGTAATTTTTTTTCATTTTTGCAGAGTAAGAATTTGGATCTCTTATGAGCTAGTTTCTTGCAATGAACTTGGATCGACTTACCTCCAGCAGTGAATCTCACAAGCGTCGAGCTTGAAACCAAGATAAATAGCAAGGAAATGATTAGTTGTCTGTTTCTGTGACAACTGAAGCCAGTTTTAACGCTGCCCATTTCCTCAGAGAGATGCAGAGAGATAGAGAGGAAGGGTGTGGTTGAAAGTAGAACCTTGAGAAATGGAAGGTATAAGAGAGTGAGAGCAGAGTAAATTAGAAGGAAGGAGGATGAAAATGAACGACAGTGACAGTACAGGAAGGTAACTGAATATGAATCTGAATCCTGAAAAGTGTACGAAGAGAGGTTCAGTGCTTCATTGACACCTCAACAAACCAAAAAGATGAGTCTGTTTTTATCTAAATAAGATTGAATGTCTAAGCCAAAAGGAGGATATTCCAGCCAGCCTTAAAGAAAAATGGGTGAGGACCTCAAAACGAAAAGGGGAGGACCCCGACCTCGTTTCATGAGCCACCAGAAAACCCAACGTATCCCCACATCTGTGTAAAAAAGAAACTCCAGTGGTACTATACTCAGAGCCAGAGGCAGAGCAAGGAAAGACAAGGCGGAGGAAGAGAAATGAATTGGTGAATCAATCCAAGTAGAAAGACAAAAATATAAACCCCCCGCTTACACCAAACGATAGATGTGTCTTAATCTACTGAATTGGTGAATTGGGAAATCTCTTAATCTACTGAAAGGACATGTGTCTATGATTTATCACAGGTGGTATTGATAGAATGACATAATGGGTTCCTTTCGTTTCTCTGGTTTCATTTGTCTTCCTTTACGCTCGTATTGCTTACTTAAGTAGGATTGGGATTTGAACAGTTGTTGGCAGTCTCAACTTGACACGCCAAGTCATTTTCTTTCTTGTCTTGGAAAGAGTATGAGAATATATTTCCCAAGGCGGATACTGTTTGAGGGTATGCTTCTAGGGAGTAGGAGCATGATCTATCGAGTTTGCTTGAGAAGCCCATATTTGGGGAACTGCAATTATCTGAGTATGGGAGGTATGGTTTTTGCCTGCAAGCTATCACGCTGAGTCTCGGGGAAAAGAGCGAAAATCCATTTGATTCGTACCATGTGCTTGTGACCTGTTGCATCGAACTACGACAGCTCCTCCTCGAGCTTTAAAGGGAAAATTAAAAAAATAACACGAACACATTACATCTCCCAAGTCCTAACAGCAGCTGTTATTGAAAAGGTTACCATTTGAGATTGAAATCGTGAGTTTTACACGTACCAAAAATGTATTTACCTCACTATCAGGTCTTATCCTCCCTCGTTCCACAGTAGCTTTTGTTAACATGCGCAAATACAAATGGTTTGCGATCACAGTGAGCGTTGTCTTTTAAGTGTAATGTTATTGATTTCTACAAAGCGTGGAAAATGTCACTCGAAAATTTCTTAAGAATCTAGATCTTTCATTCTAAAAGGACAACAGTCCCCGTGTCGTTGAAGTACACGAATAAAATCATCATAAATTCCGCTTTTCCGGCTCCTAATCAGTTTTCAATGAGTAAGAGCTTCTGCAGACTAGATAAACTATAGCAGCACCAAAGTTTCGTGTACCTTCATATCGCCGAACCTTGGTTTTTGATCTTCGGAAGGAAGTCATGAACGAGCTAGTTGAGGCTTCAATAACAAGGGGCTGCGCTGTTCCTAACTGGGCTACAAAAGAAAATATTTTACACCCAGGGAAAGTTCTTCTGGGCTGAAAAAACTATCTCATTGGAGCGACACACCTTCAACCCTGCAAAACGTGATAATGTATATTGGTGGAAGTGGGGCGGCGGTTTAAAATGCTTTGACAAGGCAAAATGTAAATGGATTATTGTCATTGATTAACAGAGGTAACACAGAGCAATTATTTTCACCTCAACAGGAAAGTAAAAGCCACATGAATAAAAGTGACAGGGAAACGGATTATGAACTCATCTTAATCATCAACATCGCCCATTCTCATGATGGCACAGGGAAATTGACGCCCGGCAGGTTGTTAACTTACACGTACTGCCAGGATAAAAGATTACATGAAAATGTGCAATTGCTTTCTTATGTAAAAGTTTCACTAATCTCTCTCCCCAACTCCCTCCCTTACCCTATTCCTATATTATTTAACACACAGCTTCCAGCACAGTTTGTTTTCCCCCCTTGTATTCGCTACTCACAGTGAGGTTAGCTGGAATTTCCCCTGAGGATGCAGAAATATATAATTGGAAAATCACTGACAAGATAAATCATATAGAATTTGCACCTTTCACAAAATAAAATTGTCAACCATGTGTTGGACAACGTCAGCCCCATCAGAATTGATGCAGGAGATTTTCACCTGAAAATAAGAGAGAAAATGAATATGAATCTCACGGAAGCACGTCAAAACATGTGACTCTAGAATACTCTACTGATTTGTGTGGTAGGAAAGAGAATCAAATTAGACAGTAAATCGTAAAGGCCTCAAATATTATTCCTAATGAAATAGAGAGAACTCCACCTCTAAGAAAAAGACCACTTTACCTGAATGGTGCTGTGCGCCACGAACCTTTGCATACTTCCACTTAAGTTAACATCAACTCGTTCCCAGCTCAACTTTGTCAAGCCTCTGATCATTTCCTCTGCAAGTGTTTTAAAATAAGTTATAACCCATGGAAATAACAGTATTTAATCAATGATCATGTTTGGTTCTCCATGGTAAACGAAGAGTCTGTAACTACACTCCCAGTCTTTTTCCTTCGACTTCCCTGTACTAGCACCTTTAGCTTCTGAAGGCCATATGAAACAGCCCAGCACAGAAAAATACTGGTTTTTTCACCACAGGAGTCCAACCAAAAACATGCTTGCCCAAAAAGTTTCAACTCTGCTCAATTCCATGAGGCCATCTCTTAAAAAGCTTCCCCTGCCTCTAGTCCACCAATTATTCATTATGATGGTAGAATTTACCTTTAACTGATTATATTTTCTTTGGTTTTTTTCCGACACGGAAATTAACTTACACGAGCCTAGAAGTTACAAGTAACACGACAAATAAACTCAACAAGGCCTCATAAGCTTTAGAGCATATTGACTTAACCAAACAGTTAGAAGAAGCAATAAGCGGCAAACCTTCCATGTAATTACTCTTGCTATCATAAGCTTTGACCTCTGATATTTCATGCTGAGGGCTTGCATTTTCTGTTGTCTTCACATTAACAATATGCGGATATTTCTCATGTCTTAGGAGATGTTGTCTCTGAAAGAGGAAAAGCATTAATCATGTTATAACAAATTTTTCATCACATACCCCAAAACAGTCTAGTGAAGCTGAAAATGTACCTTAGGAAGTTCATCTCTTCGCCGTAAAGATGATGTGCACCATCCCACAATGTCTAGAGCATGTCAAGTTCCCCAGTTTGGCAGTAAGCACGATCCTGAGCAATTTTGTGCTCGGATGGTTTAAATTATGCATGATTTGTCCAAAATTTTGTTATTTTTGCATTTTTCCTTTTGGTAGGAAAACCTGTTCGTTCATAACTTACAAAAAAATATCAATGAGGATACGGTCAAAACTTGCATTTGCATATGCCACACGACGCTTAAAGGATTCCAAAGCAGATCTGCAGAGACAAGAAAAGGTATGAAGGCAGCTTTCCTAATCATTCACAATCACAAGGGTGTTTATATTTCCAGGATAAATCATAAGTTTATCAAACTCACATAAAATTAAGATTTTCAGAGTCACTGGTCATCTGAAAAAGAAGCGGAGGTTTTCCATCATCAACATCAGTCAAAAACAGATGTTTTCCAGTCCTACCAAGAAACCAAGCAATTCGAGCAGCTGCTTTTTCCAGAGTGTAAAAGCCACAAAACATTGGGACCTAAAAATAACAAAATCATGGGACTGTTGTCAAAACTATGGCAGTGCAGCATACACATGTATGTTCTTTAATTCATGCTGCTCAACTGGCATCCTAGCTACCATCACTAAGAGTGAAAAATCTACATGGCAGTACCAACCCAGTCAGTCATAAAATCAAATATAGAGGTTTGATAAAAGAGGAGAAAAGAAGGAACAGACAACATATTTGTAATCAGTTGTCCTCTTTGGCTCTTCAGGAAAATTACTGTAGACTAGACAATTGTTAATTTATTTGTACCCCAAAATAATGTAATGTGTCAAAACAATTTTTGTGTCATCAAAGACAACATATTGGCTCCATCCTCGAATAACAACAGAGAATAAACGAAATCTATACCTAAATAATATTTAAACCAAACACTCTACCGTAAAAGCATTTATAAAGAATAAACGAATGACCTGCTTATGAAACCTCGAACCAAGATGTGGAGTGGCAAAGGTTATGAAATTCATGGGCTCCAATCCAGCAATTGTGCCTGTTGATTTCTCTTGCACGCAGTTATCTTTATCTTCAGATTCATCACTTTTACAATTGCCGCTTTCATGAGAAATTTCCTTGGTGATATCTCGTTCATATAGCCTAGCAATAGCATATCTTGCAATCAACCCACCTAATGAATGGCCTACGAATGAAATCTTCTGAACAGATGGGTGTCTTTTCTTCACTGATACCACCTGATAGAATCACTTTTACATTTTTTAAGCAAATACTTGAATGCCAAATAATCTTAATCCACCCAAAAAATAAAATGTAACAGAAGGCATCATATGAACATCTTCCAAGCTCACCTCTTCTGCTAGTCTGTCTCCCATTACATCTACACCATCAAATGTCAACATTGAAGAATTAACTTTGCTGCCTGCATCAAAGCGCCATTAATTTCCATAATCAAAACCTATTGATCATCCCACGGGAAAAAAAAAAAGACTCACGGTGAACAACAACGTCTCTGGGATACTTCTTCAAAAACTGCTTAGCCGCAAATTTCCAATCTTGAGCACTGCACATTCATTCACCAATAAATAAACGCAAAACACTGCAGCTACAGCTACATCAATAATGAATGCTATACCGTGCGTGACTGGAAGTAAACCAGCTGATTCTTAATTAAACTACAAAAATCACCGTTTCATTACGAGCTCCTGTTATCACCAAAAATAAATTCCTACAGGAAAGAATAAGAAGAAGAGAGAATAGACCTGCCAACGATACCGTTAACCATGATAATAAGGTGAGTTGGATTTACAGGCTCTCCTGTTGTCTCCACGACACTCCCTTTTTCATTATTCTCTTCAATTTTCAAGCATCCAAATTTTCTAAAATATGAAGATTTCTTATTGCTCTTCTTTGCACTATTCATCTCTTTTAACTCTCCACCACTCTTATTAACAATCTCTAGTGATGATCTTCTTCCAGTAGTACCTTGCAGCTCAACAGAACCCATGATTAGAGAAACAAGAAATGCAATGAGAGGAAGGACTTACTGTTTTGTAATAGCGCGTCAAGTTCATATTTGGAAGGTGAGTAGTTAAACCGTTACGGTTGGGTCCGGGTCGGGTCCACAATAAGCTAACCGGCTACCCTGCGGCTTTAAGGGTGGCTTGACTTATTGATAAAAGGAACCTGGATTTTGTTGTAATTACTAGTTTGTTGCTGTGATAGACGAAGGGTCGGGGAGGGATAAAAATGGAATCTGGCGTTGGCTTGAAAAGGTTTGGCGAAGTTTCACACCTTTTTCATGTTCCGTTTATTTCTCGGAGTTTCTAGAAGGAGACGACACAATTGACCAGCGTTTTTAATACTGCTTATGGGCTTTTCTAGATGGATTGGACTTTGAGCTTACTGTAAGAAACTTCTTCATCGCTCCGCAGGTTAGATTAAAATAATAAAGAAATTATATAAGGGCAAGTCATTTGCGACTGTTTTTTCTTATGATGATAAATAAGAAGGCTTCTGAGCTCCTCTTTCTTAAGATGTTCATGTTCTTCCGAGGTCTAGCTGATCCGATAACATGTCCAAATCGGCTCCCATATTCGTCTTCTTTTAATTTCATGTGACCAAACTACAAATCTACCAGCGTGCTCATGCTGGGAACCATGCAGCGGCGGATGAACTCTAACGAAACACTTTTGGTCGAGGTGGCTTTCCGCATCGCCTGCTATGTTAACGATGTTAGATGTTGAATATGGTAATAATTGTTTTTATTTTTTAATATTTAAAAAATATAAAAATTCAATTTTTTATGAAAGAGAAGCTAAATCACAGCTCAATCAGGCACAAAAAATTTTATTTTTAAAAAAATGTTTTTAATTGAGAAGTATATTAAAATAATTTTTTTTAATTTTTTTTAAAAAATGTTTTTCATTAAGAAGTATATTAAAATAATTTTTTTTTTAAAATATTTTTAATGTTAGTATATCAAAATAATTTGAAAATATCAAAAAAATATTAATTAAATATTAAATATTAAATATTTTTTAAAATATTTTTAAAATATAAAAACAAACTAGACTTGCGGCACAATATGTTATCTTATATAGCCGAATGATAATTATGATTGCGTTTATAAACAATTTTTTTTGTTTTTTAAAAGTGAGTTTAGCATTAAAAGATATCTTTTTTAATTATTTTGATATATTATTATTAAAAATAAAATAAAAATATTTTTTTAAAATATATTATATCAGAGAAACACAAATTAAATCGCTAAATCCAAGCATTTGTGTTACATTTGCTTGTTTCATATGGTCTTCTCATCCTACAAATTATTTTAAATGTGATGTGTTATAATATCGAATTGTGATTCACCCACAATTTATTTTTAAATGAGAAGTTAAAATATTTTTGTTGAAGAGTAATTTAATTTTAAAAATAAAAGGATTTTTCTTTTAATTTGTTCTTTGAAATATCCATTAATCATATTTTTAAAACAAATTTTTAACTTCATTTTTTTATGATTTTGTATGATTTTGTAGATATACGGAGATATTCTCAATCTGTCATAGAGCTTTTAATCTACCAGTATAGGGTTTGATTCTTTGGGCTTTTTACTCTCGAGAACACATCTTGTAAAAAAAAAAAATGATTAAATGTCGCTCTCACTTGCAGACTGTCCTACGGTCAAATATTATTTTACAGTCACATTAGATGTTGTGTATAACACCCCATCACGTTCTGGAGGTGGGTACTCAACCTCGCGGATGAATGTTTCGATCAAGGTCTTTTTTCATAATGTAGTGTTCATTGCTTTTAAAATTATTTTTTTATTTAGAAATATTTAAAAATAATATTTTTTTATTTTTTTAAATTTATTTTTAATATTAGTACGTTAAAAAATTAAAAAAATCAAAAAACTTAATTTCAAATCTTTTTATAAAAAATCACAAAATATGATTTTAACTACAAATACAAACAAGCTTTTTTTGTATGCTAGTTGGGTTTTAATCGGAAACTTTGCCCCGCTTTTAAACCTTCAGGTCAAAATCCAGTATCATGACTATGACCATGATCTAATATTTAAGGGTATATTTGAAAATATGATTGAAACTATGTTTTTTTTAAAATATATTTATTTTTGTTTAAAATTAATTATTTTTTTATTTTTTTATATTATTTTGATATTTTAATATTAAAAATAATTTTAAAAAATAAAAAATATATTTAATTACAGTTACTGTTACATTCACCATTATCCTTCCTAATATATGTGGATTTTGCTTTCTTTGTAGAGAATCAAAGACAGCATCGGCATTAAAAATATACATTTAATTTTTTTCTTGTTTGTAAAATTGGGTGTACAGATAAGCTTACCTGGGACTGAAATTAAAGCAAAATGAGCTAGAAGGCTAGTGTGAAAAATTGCAAGGATGGAAGCAGATTAGAGATAAAAGTATATATATATATATATATACGGTCATAATAAAATAACTAACTTACATGGAAGGCGAGACAAATTCCCAAGGACTTGAATAAATTTAATGCAAAGAAAAGGGGATCAATATAGAATAACTACATTTTTGGGGCTTCGGGTGTTTTTTATTTTTATACAAAAGTTTGAAAAGGGGCATGGCTCCTATGATGCGACCACACGCGTTGTTCGTGGATTGACCGCTTATATCACAATAAACATCACGACTTTCCCGTTTATGCACATTTTAAAAAAAAATCATCATAAATTATATTATATCGTGTTTTTTATAGTTTAATTGTTTTTTTATTTTACATTTATTATTTTAAAATTAACATTTTATATTATCCATCAATAAAAATCTTTAAGTTAGATAAAGAAGTTAATTAATCTTGTGTATAATATATCTTCAATTCTCTCTAGTTTATATATAATTGAGTCTATGGGGATCAAATTTAATTTTGAGAGATGTATTCAACCCCATTTTCTTGCTTGACCATAGACTAATTTAAGAGGGCAGGGGGCTTTGTTTAAAATTAACTTATTTTTTTAATTTTTCAACTTTTTATTTATTAAAAATTTATTTTATAATTTATTTTAATTAACTATTTATTTATATAAAAAATATCACAGTGTCACTCCACAAGCAATGTGATTTGGAAGTTAATCATCATCGGTTGAGGTTGATACAATAAATTTTAATATTAAAAAAACCACCATCCAATATAATATATTAAAGTTATTTTTTAATATCCATCAAGGTTTTAAGTTTATAAATTTTTCCATGCTAGAAAGCAGTGCGGTGCTAAGGAGCAAGGCAGGCAGGCAGGCAGGCAGGCGAGGCAGGGGGGGAGAGGAGAGAGCACTCTGTTGGCAAGCAGGCACTCACCCTCTTGCATAGCACTTGTTAATAGTGGAGAATCGAGAGCTGGAAAGCGAACAATCTGACAGTCACTCGGAAAAAACCAAACATTGAACATGCTTCCCAAACAAATCTTTTAATCCATCATCATAATCATCCATTTCTTCAATTTTTTTAATATTATTCACGCTTTGCCCATCGCTTGCTCTCCTCCATCCATTAAACGATAAATTCCCATCAAATGGAATCGCTCGAAGGAAGGCGACGGGTTCAGTTTCTCTCATGGAAATACACTTTTCATCTCTCGCTCTTTTTTCCGTTGTGATTTCGCTTCTGGGTCTCTCTGCGGAATCAATTCCTGTCTACCAGGTAACTAAATCCCTAATTCCCATTTCGTTGTTGATTCTGTTTGTTTTTAGAGAAGCTACATGTCATGTCCTGGTGTGAAACAAACCATGAATAACATTTTGTTTTCGGGATCAACGGACTACATGTCATTCACTAGTTAATTAAGCCTGCACTCCTTTGTATTGTGCTTGAATGCAATGCATGCATGCATGCATGGTCCATGGAAGGGAGCATTTCTCTGTATTTGGAGGATGTAGACCACCTTCCCCTCATTGACATGTTCGTTAATTTCTGACATTTGCGCTCCTTTGTCTTTCGCAAAAAGGCCACAACCACAGGCCCTGTGGGTGCTGGAGATGATAACGTCATATTGAATCCTAGATTCGAGGATGGCCTTAACAATTGGTCTGGGAAAGGATGCAAGATTGAACTTCACAGATACATGGAAGATGGAAAAGTCTTTCCGCAATCAGGGAAGTTCTTTGCTTCTGCAACAAATCGGACAGAAAATTGGAATGGAATCGAGCAGGATATCACTGGAAGAGTGCAACGAAAAGTTGCGTATCAAGTTACTGCGGTGGTTCGAATATATGTTGACAATGACACTAGTGCTGGTGTACAAATCACATTGTGGCTTCAAGAACCTGATTTTCGTGAACAGTATATTTCCATTGCCAAGTTAGTCTCTTTCACCTACTCTCAAAGGATGACACTGCATTGGTTTTTGTATAGATTTTTCTACTTCTCCCACTAATTGGTTTTCAATTTTGGTTGCCATTTGCTATATATCAACAGTGCTATAATTCCTGATGTTAAATAGATTCAGTTCAACTTTATGATGTATTTTAGTGATATTTGCACGAGTTTGAATATTCTATAGTTAGGAAAAATGCAAGATCTGCTTGTCTATATTGCTATGTTTTACTTGCACCATATCTGAAATAAGGAGCTCGCTTCGGGGTTTGAGGAAATTGGCTTGCTCTGCAGTTCACAGGTAACAAATAAAGATTGGGTACAGTTGCAGGGAGAGTTCCTTTTTAACGAAACCCCATCAAGATTGGTGATATATCTAGAAGGCCCATCTCCAGGCACCGATATTCTTGTTAACAGTTTAGTAGTGAAGCGGGCTGAGAAAATTCCTGCTTCAGCACGACCATTTTCAAAGGTTGATCAGATTTTGTTAACACACGATTGATCAAACATGCATAACATGCGACAATAACTATCTATCACCAACCTCTTCATATGTGGAGCAACATGCATGCATTCTCAAGTGTTGAATTCTATGTTTTCAGGATTAAAATTTGTTTGTGTTTTTGTTTTGTAGAATGCTACTTTTGGAGGGAATATAATCGAGAACAGCAATCTTGATGACGGCATCACAGGTTGGTTTCCTCTCGGTAACTGTGCCTTGAGTGTTGGAACTGGTTCACCGCATGTGCTTCCTCCAATGGCAAGAGATTCTCTTGGAACTTATGAGTCTTTAAGTGGCCGTTACATCATTGTAACTAATCGGTCAGATTCTTGGATGGGTCCTGCGCAAATGATCACTGATAAACTGAAACTCTACTTGACATATCAAGTGTCTGCCTGGGTTCGAATTGGTCCTGGAGCAACTAGTCCTCAAATTGTGAATGTTGCCCTTGGTGTGGATGGCCAGTGGATCAACGGGGGTGAAGTTGATTTTAATGATGACAATTGGCATGAAATTGGTGGGTCCTTTAGAATTGAGAAGCAACCGTCTAATGTTATGGTTTATGTCCAAGGTCCTGCTTCTGGTGTTGACTTAATGGTTTCTGGTCTTCAAATTTTCCCCATAAACCGGCAAGTCAGGTTTAAGCACCTGAAGAAGCAAACAGATAAGGTAACTGCCAATATAAACTTAGTTATGTGCTCTCAATTGATTACTTGTGTTTGGAAATAACTGAATTCATAATCAAAATGCTTTCTTATAGTAATATAAAGCAATCTAATCAACCAATCATTGTAATCATGCAGATTCGTAAGCGTGATATCATTCTAAAATTCTCAAGATCAGAAAGTAGCAATACAATTGGCAACTCTGTTAAAGTCAGACAGATAAAAAGTAGTTTTCCTTTGGGATCATGTGTAACCAGAACGAGCATGGACAATGAAAAGTTTGTTAAATTCCTGGTTAAAAGTTTTAACTGGGCTGTGTTTGAAAATGAACTAAAATGGTCCTGGACAGAACCACAAGAAGGCAAATTCAACTACAGGGATGCTGATGAGTTGTTGGACTTGTGCAAGAGCTATAACATAGAAGTCCGAGGTCACTGCATCTTCTGGGAAATGGAGTACACAATTCAATCATGGGTTAGATCCCTGAACGCAAGTGGCTTGATGACTGCTGTTCAGAATCGCCTAACAGGCCTTCTCACACGCTACAAGGGACAGTTCAGGCACTATGATGTGAACAATGAAATGCTGCACGGGTCTTTCTATCCAGATCGACTGGGAAAGGATATCCGAGCAAACATGTTCAAAACTTCCCATGAATTAGACCCATACGCCACCCTCTTTGTGAATGATTATCACATTGAGGATGGAAGTGACATCAGATCAACACCGGAGAAATACATACAACAAATCCTTGACCTCCTAAAACAAGGTGCACCAGTGGGAGGAATTGGTATCCAAGGTCATATTGGTGTTCCAGTTGGGCCAGTTATCTGTTCTGCTCTGGATAAATTGGGCACTCTAGGCATTCCAATCTGGTTTACTGAACTTGATGTGTCTTGTCCTAATGAGTTTGTCAGAGCAGATGATTTGGAAGTAGTGCTTCGCGAGGCATTTGCACATCCTGCAGTTGAAGGTGTGATTCTTTGGGGATTTTGGGAGTTGTACATGTCCAGGAAAAATGCACACCTCGTGAATGCAGACGGTAAAATCAATGCAGCTGGTAAGAGATTCCTTTCCCTCAAGAAAGAGTGGCTATCTCATGCTTCTGGACATATTGATGAGCTAGGAGAATTCAGATTTAGAGGATTCCATGGGACATACAGTGTGGAATTTGTTTCCACCACAGAGAAAGTTAACATGACATTCGTTGTTGACCAGGGTGAGTCGCCACTAGTTGTGTCCATTGACTTGTAGACATTAAGCATTGCTATCCACAACCACAAGTGATGTTTTCTTAACAGAGAAGCACTCATTGAAGCTTACAATTAGAATTGAAGGTTTTCACATTCGCAGACTGCGAAGTGTCAACAACCTGCACCGACTTTTTGGCTAGGTTGAACGGTGCACCATTACAATATCTCGGGCAAACAATAAATTGCGTGTTCTTATCAAATATGTATGTTTTTTCTATGGATCTTGTTTTGTCAGATAATTAATTGTAACTCAAAACTTATCTGGCAGGATATAGGGAAGGGATCAGGAGAGTTCCCTCTGCCTTGTATAAGATTTATGTCAAAAGGAGACTTGTGCCTTGAGATTAGTTGGATATCTCTACCCGACCAAGCCACAATGGAGTCAAAATCGCAACTGGAAAAAACTTGTTTATGTAAAGCAAAATGAAGTTGGAATTGACTCCGTCTCCTTGAGCAGCACAGTGACCTCCATGATTTATAGCAACAAGGCCTCTCACTTCAAAATCACATTTCCCCATTAGAGTCAGTACTGAAAACCCATCTTCACCTAACTTACAAAAATCTTAAAAACAATTGCCTTGTAATCGAAGAATTAATCAAAGATTCATCAAATTTTGTTTAAAATAAGAGGGACTTAGCATGCCCAAACTTAAAACCAGAGCAATGGGGGTGTGGTTACCCTCATCTGCAAGTCAAAGCAATTCTAGTACAAGAGAAGTAGCCTTACAGAGAAGATAACATCTGAAACAGACTAAAACAATTTGATTGATCGTCTTTCCTGGGGATGGAAAAACCCCGACAAAAGACAACTGAGGCAAAAAGCTAAAGGGTTTTGCCAGAAGAAATTTGATTGGTTGTTTGCTGTAGTTGGTGCCGCGCGTTTCGTAGACTTCACTTGTAAATCTCCAAACGGTGTGTATAAAAATGAGGAGGTTTTTCACTTGCTGCTTCAACAACCAAGCCACCAAGACAAATCTCAAGCAAGAATATCAACAGGTACCCACCCCATTTCTGCTCTCTTTGTGCAATAAATCAACAGGTAACCTCCCCATTTCTGCTCTCTTTGTGCAATAAATGAGATACTAATGATGTTTAATTAATTTCAAATGAAAAACCCACTGTTGTATTTGTGTTATTAGGAATCTAGGGCAAACATGGAGACCCATCAGAATAATAACGGCAATGACCATTCCGAGGTATGACTTTGATCGTGTCTTCACCGTTTTTTGGGATAGTTTAAAGTTCATTAGATTGGGTTTGCCTGGTTCCGGTCTTGTTGTTATGATCTTCCTTTTCTTGTAGTTGAATGGGTATACCTTGCTAGTCGGCTTTAGCATTTTAGGGGGGGCATTTTCCTTTTTATAGAAATGCCATTCTGGCTCTGTCCTTTTATTGGAAAATTCAGTGTGTGCCTATTGATGAAATGTTGAAAAGTGGTACATGGATTTTTGTTTTCCATACAGGAAAACGATTATTTATAGATTTATTTAAGTGGGAAGTTTGTTATTTGAGCTTAATGTTGGATTTCGTACATAAGTTTTTGCATCATTAGACTGAACTTTGTTCTTTGTTTGTTCAAATGTCATGTGTCCTTCAAATATTCTTCTTCTTTTCTTTAATGCTGGCTTTAAACTCTGATTTTGAATTCGAAAAGAGCAAAAACTAAAGCTGTTTTTTCAAACTTTCAATTAAAGTTATATGAAGCCTCATTGAAAGCTTATGCCTGATTTCATTTATATTGGCTAATTTAGAATCCAGCTTTCTGATTTTTCTTCTGTTTGAGAACTGCTCGGAAGTAAAAGGAATTTTGGTCTTTTAACCTGAGCTTACATAACATAGCATGTAAATATTCTCCTATTGTTTTCAATTTGTAAACTAGTTTCATGAATTTGAAGTGTCCAACATATGCTCATCAACTTAAGCTCTTCTGGACAGACTGTAAGCCAAAACATGATTGATTCAAGCAATAGCAACGCTCCCAATATCATATTGAACCATGATTTCTCCAGAGGACTATATTCCTGGCATCCAAATTGCTGCGATGGCTTCGTGCTTTCAGCTGACTCAGGTCACTCAGGATTTTCAACAAAGCCTGGCAGTAATTATGCAGTTGTGTCGAATCGCAAGGAATGCTGGCAGGGCCTGGAGCAAGATATTTCTAGCAGAATTTCTCCATGTTCCACTTATTCCATTTCCGCACGTGTTGGAGTATCTGGGCTTGTCCAGTACCCTACTGATGTGCTGGCAACCTTGAAACTGGAATACCAAAATTCAGTAACGAGCTATTTGCTCATTGGAAAGTAATGGATTTTGGAACTCCATTTATTGTGTTTCTTATTTTAATAAAAGAATTAAAGCATGTTAACAATAGTTGTTGCCATTGCAGAACTTCCGTGTCAAAGGAAGGGTGGGAAAAATTGGAAGGCACATTCTCATTAGCAACCATGCCTGACCGCGTTGTTTTCTACTTGGAAGGGCCTGCTCCCGGGGTGGACCTGCTTATAGAATCAGTAATTATCACTTGTTCCTGTCCAAGCGAGTGCAATGTAATTATTCATCTTAATCTCATTTTACTTCTCAATTTAACTTCAGTTCCCTAAATACATACAAGTGTTGTTGCTTAAAGACGGCCACAATTTATTCTCTATCCAATTCAGTTTTATAAGCAACATCCCTCATCCACTTTTAACATTTTTATTATAATTCCTTAATGACAAGTATTGGAATGTTGCCTTCCTCTTTATTTTGGAAGAATGCAAGACCCTGTGCTGGAGATGGAGACGGGAACATTATTCTGAACCCTCAGTTCGATGATGGCCTGAATAATTGGTCTGGTAGAGGCTGCAAGATTGCCATACATGACTCAATGGCTGATGGTAAAATTGTCCCTTTGTCTGGAAAAGTTTTTGCTTCGGCAACAGAGCGCACACAGAGCTGGAATGGAATTCAGCAGGAAATAACTGAAAGAGTGCAGAGAAAGCTTGCTTATGAGGTTACTGCTGTAGTTCGTATATATGGTAACAATGTCACTAGTGCTGATATACGGGCTACCCTATGGGTCCAAACACCAAATCTCCGAGAGCAATATATAGGCATTGCCAAGTTAGTCTCTTCTCTGCTTTTGATCTCCAGTAGATGATAGCTATAGTTTTCTTTGTCGACAATGGATTCTCTGCCTGTAGCATTTTTTTAGTTTTGATCTCCCACATCCACGGATGGTTTTAAATTTTATTCAACAGTTAAATTTTACCTTTTTTCTTCCTTTAGAACAAGCGAGTATTTCCTCCATATTTAGTGGTTGATAATGACCATCATGTTTGCATTTTCTGGCTTGATTTTTAGTCTACAGGCAACAGATAAGGACTGGGTGCAGTTGCGGGGAAAGTTCCTTCTAAATGGTTCGCCTAAAAGAGTTGTCATTTACATAGAAGGTCCACCTGCAGGCACTGATATTCTTGTCAATAGTTTTGTTCTGAAGCATGCAGAGAAAATTGCACCCTCTCCTCCTCCAGTTATTGAGGTTGGTTGTTTAAGGAAACATTTGAATTCTCATCTGTTAGTTTTGCATCAGAACTTTTGCTAAATGGATATTTGGAGTTGAATCACTAGGGTTTAAAGCATTGCATGGATGAATAATGTGTTCTTATATTTCTGATGTGTGCATTATTAAGATGTATGCAAACGGTTTGAAGCAGTGAGCTTTCATTTTGCAGAACCCTGCCTTTGGAGTTAATATTATTCAAAATAGCAATCTGAGTGACGGAACCAACAGTTGGTTTCCTCTTGGCAATTGCACCCTTACTGTTGCAACTGGGTCACCACACATACTCCCCCCAATGGCAAGAGATTCCCTTGGACCTCATGAACCGTTAAGTGGCCGCTGCATCCTTGTAACCAAACGCACTCAGACTTGGATGGGACCTGCACAGATGATCACTGATAAATTAAAACTCCTTTTGACATACCAGGTATCTGCTTGGGTTAAGATTGGTTCCGGGGCAAATGGCCCTCAAAATGTGAATGTTGCACTTGGTGTTGACAGTCAATGGGTCAATGGAGGACAAGTTGATATTAATGATGGCAGATGGCATGAAATTGGTGGGTCCTTTAGAATTGAGAAGCAACCATCAAAGGTCATGGTTTATGTCCAAGGTCCAGCTGCAGGTGTAGACTTAATGCTTGCCGGACTTCAGATTTTCCCAGTGGACAGAGAGTCAAGGTTCAAACACTTGAGGAGGCAGACTGACAAGGTAATTTGCTAGCTATATTTTTTTTGGTGTTTGATCAAAGTTAAATGAAACGAATAAAACAAAAAAATATGTCACAAGGTTATCCACAGTCAAACTGTGTTGATAGTATATTGCAGCTTTTGTGCGACCTTAATAGGTAACATTGGGAAAGCCACTCTCTATGTAGTCCCTACATTGATTTGATCCATAAACAGATCAGGTTTTCCTTGCAATTGAAAACGTTACGCTGCTGTACCCCTGTTAAATATTCAAATAGTGCATGATGAACCTTTTGTTTTAATGATTAAAATGCAGCATTTTAGTAAAATATCCAGAAGGTGCCTGACAAAATACACAGCTCTCGCTCTCTTCATATGTTTCTGTACTTAAACATTGCTTTAATGGTAACAGAATAACGGGCATTGTTATCCTTGCATCATTGAATATTGTTGTTGCAATTGGCAACTAAATGTACATAATTCATTAACCTATTTGAACCAAGAACATTTCCCCCCTTTCTTTAGTTACATGAATGTATATATTCCTTGATTCGCTGTCCTGTTTTTGTTTCTGATATGGAGTATTGATGCAGATCCGAAAGCGTGATGTCACCCTAAAATTTTCTGGAGGGGGTTCAAGCAGTGTGCTTGGAACTTTCATCAAAGTCAGGCAAATGCAGAACAGCTTTCCTTTTGGGTCATGCATGAGCAGGACGAACTTGGACAATGAAGATTTCGTTAATTTCTTTGTGAAAAATTTCAATTGGGCTGTGTTTGGAAATGAGTTGAAGTGGTATTGGACAGAGCCACAGCAGGAAAATTTCAACTACAGTGATGCTGATGAGATGTTGGACTTTTGTAAGAAGAACAACATAGAAGCCCGGGGTCATTGTATCTTCTGGGAAGTGGACGGTACAGTCCAGCAATGGATCAAAGCACTGAACAAAAATGACATGATGACAGCCGTTCAAAATCGTCTGACAGGCCTTCTAACACGCTACAAGGGGATGTTCAGGCATTATGATGTGAACAATGAGATGCTCCATGGATCATTCTACCAAGATCATTTAGGTAAAGATATCCGAGCTAACATGTTCAAGACTGCAAATCAACTAGATCCATCTGCTTTGCTATTCGTGAATGATTACCATGTTGAGGATGGATGTGACACAAGATCATCTCCAGAGAAGTACATTGAACAGATTCTTGATTTGCAAGAACAAGGTGCGCCTGTTGGAGGCATTGGAATTCAAGGACATATAGATAGTCCAGTCGGTCCTGTTGTTTGTTCTGCTCTTGATAAATTGGGTATTCTTGGTCTTCCAATATGGTTTACAGAGCTTGATGTGTCTTCTGTTAATGAATGTGTTAGAGGTGATGATTTGGAAGTTATGCTTCGAGAAGCATATGCTCATCCTGCAGTGGATGGCATTATGCTTTGGGGATTTTGGGAGTTGTTCATGAGCCGAGACAATGCACAACTGGTTAATGCAGAAGGTGAGCTCAATGAAGCTGGTAAAAGATACCTTGCTCTTAAAAAAGAGTGGCTGTCTCATACTCACGGGCATATTGACGAGGAAGGACAATTTGCATTTAGAGGCTTTCATGGAACCTACGTTTTGGAAATTGAAACCGTTTCCAAGAAGACCATGAAAACATTTGTTGTCGAGAAGGGTGATTCTCCTCTGGTGCTATCCATAGACCTCTGATTGTCTCTTCACTCAATAAAAAGCTATGACCAGTGTCATTCGTGTGCGTGTGTGTACTTGTAAAACACTTCTGTGGAAGATAAAGGAACAACAACAATCGCTTGCTGAATTTGGGAGCTGGTCATGATTGTTTGCAGTATATCAATACTAATACTACAAAGAAACAGTTGTTATTGTATCTAATGTCACATTAAGAATAAGGAGTAAAGATTCCATGTTGGTCGTGTTACTGTTGTTCGTTGTACTATTTGAACATGCTTTTGAACTATCGTTTGGTCTTGTATCATCTTTTTCTGGTTTTTTATTGTTCTGTGTAATCTCAAGTGCAAGCAGACACGAATGATATGCACAGTGTATGCGGATGAGTGCGGAAATGCCGAAGCGGCGAAGCTTATTGCTGTTCGAAGATTGAAAAATTAAAAAAGCTTTACCATGTCCAAGCCCACCCCATTTGATGGCAAGCCATATTTCTGATACATGAGCCAGCTTACATAATACAGAGACAAAGTTGGGCGTTTGCTAGCAGGTGGGTGGCTACTCTGCTAGGTTAAAGCCTGAAGCTAAGGCAGCATCCTTAATGCTTTAACTCGTTCATGGCCGAGAGATGATAACAAAACATTTGCTCAAAGAACAACAGTTTAGTCTTTCGAGGGATCTTAACCATTAGATGGCTGGTCTTTTGTAAAAATCCTCTGAATTCAAGTTATCTATAATATCCATATTATTTAGTTTTAACAGATTATATTAAATCAGATAATATAAATATTATATATAATCCGGTTTTTTAAAACAATTTTATTAACGGCCACCATAAGACAGCATATGATCCACTGGAGGTCTCAGTTAGAAATGCTCACAACGGTAGCCCTCGGCCTTTGAAATATCAATGGAGTGCTATATACATAATTCATGAACCGTAACAGCCCAAACATTAGTTATTAGACCACAATAGCACCGCCGAGATAATAACAGGCCCAGTGAGTAAGACTAGATTAGCCCAGGTGGTCTCTCGCAATTGTTTTGACGGGACAAATGTTGCCGAGGTGTAGAAGTGCGTACTAGGTCACTTTTTGTTTTTGCAACGTAAAAATATTTTAAAAAGATTGAATTTCTTTTGTGTTTTCAGTGTAAAACTAAATTTAAAAAAATAATAAAATATTATTTTAATATATTTTTATTTAAAAAACATCCGTTATAACATGAACTAACAACTGCTGGGATTAAAATAGAGGAGCACCGAGTCAGTTATGTCAAGATTAAAAGAGTAAGGTGAGGGGGTGACATGGAAGTTCTTGGCGAACTGGGTCCGTTGTGATATGTTTCGGGATTCTACCATCTTATCGATTGAAAGTTGAGAAACCCATTTTCAGTCGCCCTCGAATCCTATACCGAGGAGTCATTTTCTTTATTTAGATATTACTATGATGGATGGAGAGCCGAGGATGGCTTCACAGTTTCTAGGGTTTTTTTTTTTTTGAAAGCCAATAATTCAAGGGCATTATTGGCGCCGTTGTTCCACTGTCATACAATACAATGAACTGAATAACACCTAAACAGATTATTTTTCAGTTTGCTAATTATTAGGAGAATAAAATGTGGTCTGCCCGCAGACAGCGGTAATAGTTATTTAGATTAATAAACAGTCTCCAGAATACAGAAATGGAGTTTGCAAGATCAACATCAATTAAGATCCCTTGTTTTTTAAGCTGGGAATAATTTATCACATATTTTACTCTATTTGTTCTATCCATAAAGTAGTTCGAGTTCCCCACACGGACCTTTTAAGCATAATATATATTGTGATGAACAAGATGTCTGAGTTTTTTTCCCAGTAACACCCCGGATCCAATTAAACCATAGCCATACAAAATAAATAAAATGCCCCACATAAACATCACATCAATTTGATAGACTCCCACCATCTAATTACTCCAACTACACAAATCTCTTCTTCTCGGCTACTTGGCTAGTAGTCCTGAGTATATTATGGCACCGAGAGGACCCCAAAACAGTCCCCTCTCTGTCTCAAATTCTTGGTTCTCATGGACCCCAGACACCACATGGGTGCATAGTGAGTGAGAGAGAGAGAGTGTGTCATTGTCAACATCAAAGGAGTTAACCTTTGATGTGATGGGGTTTTTTAGTGAGACCCACCTGAAATAAAAGAGAAAACAGCGAGTATGGAGAATCGTGGGGGCTGGCGATGGAGCTTTGATGTCTAGTGCATCGGGAAACAGCTCTCGCGCTGTTTTCGCGCGCTTCTCACCCAGAACAAACGACACCCCGTCTAGGACCCACCTCCACACCTCCAAAACACCCGCTCCATTGACCCACTGAACCCCCCACTAGTGCTTTGTTATTTGTTTTCTGTCTTATTCTCCATGGATAACCCCAGTGATATCGTCATGCCATCCCTCTGGGTATCACAACTGAGTTCGCTTCTTACGTTTTATAGTTTGAAGTTCATGAGGGAGACTTGCAGAGGAAAGTATTTTACATATATCGCCAGAGTGATCACCTTCGATCACTCTGGAAATCAAGTGGCATACGGCGTAGTTATCTTTCATTAGTCTTTGTTTGTTGAAGCATCTGAATTCTGCACTCACCGTGTACCACTCAAATGGATGGCTGCACCCATAGGACCACGAAGAGACTTAAAAGGCCGTCTACATGACTGCGGGAATAAAAAAAAAATTAAAAAAAAAGAAAGAAAGAAAAAGGATGAAAGGCCATGATTACCCTCACACACCAACCCAATGTAAATCTGTATCGTCTATTTCCTATGCATATTTGTCTGCTATTTTTGTATGGTAACTTCAGTTCAATGGTGGCTTTTCTGTCTTGTCTTCGTGTCTTATCTCTATGCTTGGACTTTAAATGCAACCCACCAATCGTCAATAAATTAATCAATTACCAGAATGGTATTTTTAAAACAAAAAAAATTAACTAAAAAAATCCAAGCAAATACTATAACATGATAGTGACTGTTTGCAAATATGGTGCCATGTGTTTTTTTACCGAGGATATATTACGAGATTTTTTCTATTTTTTTATTTTTAACTTTGAAATATCAAAAAAATTCAAAAAAATCTAAAAAGCTATCAACTTAATATTTTTATAAATACAAAAAAATCTAAAAAATACTTTAAAAAATATAAAAGTTGTGGTATTAAATAGCATGAAAACAACCACAAACAATTTTTAAAATGAGTATATTACATTTACAATATCCCTTCCAACTTGTTTTGAAATCTAGAAATTGAATGTGATTGAATTACATTACTTAAATATAAAATGAGTTGCACTGTAATTTTAAACTAAACTTTAGATGGCTTTGGGTAATAGTCTTTTGGATTTTAAACCAGTGATAATGATTATTAATGAATCCTTGTTTGCCTAACGAAAAATAATTTTTTTGGACAAATAGTTTACATTAAAAGTAGATTCCTCAAAAAAAAAACTATTTTTTATATACAGTTATATTATAAAAATAAGTTGGAAAATATTTTTTAATATTTAACTATGCCATGAAGGATAAACTAAAAAATAATTTATTAATGTTTTTTTAAGTTTATTAAAAAATAAGTACCCCATCTAATAGATAAAAAAAATTAAAGAAGAATAAAATTAAAGAAATAATCTAATTTCATAAATTATTTTAAATAAAATAAAAAGTAATGAAAATAATAAAAACTAAATTTAACAAGTAAAAAAGTTGAAAGATGATATAATTAAAAAAAATTATAAATTATTTTAAATAAAATAAAAAATAAAAAATAAAATGAAAATCAAATGATAAAAAAAATCTCAATTAAAAGAAAAAACAAATAACAATAAAAAAATAAGGATTAAAATCAATAAAAAATCAAAATTTAAGAAAAAATAAAACATAAAGAATAAAAAATTTAGAACAAAATATATTCAACCAAAATATCAATAACCAAATTTGATATAATCAAAAAATAGTATAATATTTTTTTTAATGTTTCACAATTTCTAGAGAGTATATTAATCTAAAATAAAGCAAAAATATTTTTTTCTGAAACCAAACTAATTTTTTTAATAAAAAATATATTTTTTATTAATTTTTTAAATAATAAATAAACAAGAAAAAATTTATAAAATAAATTTTCGTTAAACAAATGGATTCTATAATCTTTTCTTCTTAAATGAGTTCGGATCACGTCGGCAAGTTGGTTTAACATTGCGATCTTTACAAACAAAAAAAAAAGGTAGATTTTCGGATATTTGAAATCTTTTGACATGAAATTCAATAATTCCTGGCCTTTTAAATTGAATTTTCTCGAAAAAACTTCAATGTCTACCTGTCAAATGCTCCCTTAATTTTTCTTTTTATCAAAATGATAATATCAATTGAATTTAATTGGCAAATACGGTAAAACATATAAAAGAACCGAATAAATTAAAATTTCCCCATCCTATGATTGCACTCTGCGAGTAACGGACCACTAGAATTTCTGCAATGCATGTCATGAACATGCCAAGGGAATTAATTAGCAAGAACGAAGATTGAGTTGGGGTCAATCAATCATGTAATATAAAATAAAATAAACAAGCAGTGTACGCATGAATTGTGGGAAAAAGTTGAAGTTTGGTTGGTGACTAATTGATGAATGATCGGTGATGTTAATTTAAAAACAAAGTGGCAAAAAGCAGGTTTAGATTCTCTACTGGTTATCTTTTAGCATTGATGACTCTGGAAAAATCACAGGTAGAAAAATTAGAAGCGCTTTTTATGAGCTTATAAAATTATACCAAGAGGATTTGATGGGTATTAAGAAACCCTTATTAAAAACATTATAAATCAGTATAATATTTGTTTAAATAATAAAAAAAAACAAATATTTTCTAGATTTAAATGTTTTTTAAGTCTTATTTAAATCTTGTATCATACTTATATTATTTTTTATCTAAAAAAATAAAATCTAGAAAAATGAGCCCCAACAAACATTTCATCTAAAAAAATAGCACTATATATATATATATATACATAGAGATTTTCTTAGAAAACATCTTAAAAAATATCTAAAATATCTTATATAAATATCTCATAAATATTTAAGTTATAAGATATTTAAATATAAATATCTAAAATATTTATAAAGGCGTATTCATTGTATAAAATATTTGTATAATTTTTATATATATCATAAAGTATACCAACGGTATATGTCTAGCTCCTGTAATCTTTCGTATAAATTATTAAATTATCT